CAACGAAAAAACCATTTCGGCTGTATTTCGGAGGGTTAAAAAAAAAATAAAAAATTTTTCCAGAACCCTCTCAACATAATCTTTAAATTTAGGGGCGGACATTAGCAACTTTTTTTTTTTTGTATGGGGACCGACCCAGTCTAATGTACACGTTAAATATTTCGAGCTCAACATCACCTGATCGGATAGAAATGCCCCGACATTCTGGGGTGGTATCCCTGCGGTCGATGTCTGATTAAATAAGACGATACTGCACGGTGTGGTGCGTGATGAACGCTAAGCCACCACCATTATCTTGCTCGCGATCTCGACGGTGCATGTTGTACCCGGCACAATTAAACAAGGTTGAATTGCTGTGCAACTTCGTCGCTTGAACCGCAGCTATCAATATACCATGCCTTCCCCTGAAGACGGTTATCTCCTCGATCTGGCTCTGAAGCCCGTTACAGTTAAATTGAAGAAGCTTCATGTGGTTCGGGAGACGTGTAGTTATGCGGGGTGTAAGGGATGAGTGTGGCCTTTCTGCCATTGGCTGTGGCGCTGATGTGGAGGTTGCCGTCCTAAAGTGGTAGTGGTTGGCGTCGCAATTGGGCTTTGTGACCGAGCAGCGCAACAAGGGCCCTCTAAATTCCTCGTCCAATCTCGCGTGGTGCGCAGAGCTGAACATGCCCTATAGTGGCCCCAGCCAAGGCAGGAGGTTGCACTTGACTGATGTCACATTACGGAATATCCTGGTCTGACATACCGTGCAGATTGTAGGAGGAACCAGGAGTTGTTGGCGGCGGCGTATGGGTGGTGGTGCAGTTGTGTCTGTTATGTGGTCTGTCGTAGTTGTGGTGTGGTCTATTGTGGTGCTGTGGTTTCTGTGTTGAGCTCAGGTGGACCTAAACGGGGTTAGATCGCCGAAACAACAGCCCTTGGTCGGGTAAAACCCGAGTTATTCCGGTACGTAGAATGTATTTAGTATTTCATTTAGCTGTAAATATTTTGTTTTACAATAAGCTGCACATACCCAGGTACAAAGTGCATTGATATACATATGTATATGTATGAATGCACACACAATAAAATTATTAAATCCGATTAGTACGCATTTGCCAATTCATTCTCAAACTAAAGCCAAGCTTTATTTCATCATTATCGTTAACTACGTCAACGGCCCCTCGGACGCACATTTAATACATGCATAAATGCATACATACATATGTGCATATGCGCAAAGATATGTATGTTCATATGTTGGCATATTTGTTTATTTGTTTCATACATAATATAAAGAAAATACTATATGCATACTATGTAACTTCTAGGTAGATAAACCCACATACAGATACGGGAGTTCAAATGTAAATAAACAAATGAATTGTGATTGCGACTTAATGCTAAAGTCCCAGTAAAGGCGTCAATGAAAAATATGGCACGTCGTTATTACGTGTCCTCATACTAAATATCGCCACATAACAAGAAATAAATAGTCTATTTTTTTTTTTTGTTAACAGTTACTAACCAATAACAATTTAGGAACGTTTTTTTATTAGTATTTTGATTATGTAATCATTATAAATACATATGTACATATGTATAGGTTATAGTATAGCTCGCAATAATGTAAACTTAAAAAGTTAATAATTTAATCTCGATTTTTGTAAATGCAAAATTGTAAATTGAATGACAATTGTGTGCATATGTATGTATGTATGTAAGTACTTTAAAA